CTCAAGATAAGTGTCCGATATAGAAGATAAAAAATCTATAACGATTCGCAACTTAATGAAAACAACTACTTTGAGAGCAAATACCCCTACCACTATTGGATTACATCATCAAGTTACTCCTCAATAAAAATTCAATAACCTCCACCCAGACAATACCTACTTAGATACTCAAAATAATTAAATATTTCAGAATCGAGACAAATAAATTTATGATTGACCATATATCTAAAGAAAACAACTACTTTGAGGGCAAATACCACTACCAATATTGGATTACGTCACGAAGATATTGGGCAATCAAAATTTTACATTTTCATTATCATTACATTTCAAAGATAAATTCTGTAATTTAATATGGACCTCAGATAAAAATAAACGTATGATTAATCATAACTAATGAAAACAACTACTTTGAGGGCAAATACCCCTACCAATATTGAATTACATCATTAAGTTTTGCTCAATCATAGTTTATGATCTTAAACTTGTAAAATGATACAAAGAGAATATTAGAGGATCCATAAAAAAAAAGAGGCAAGTAACTGAAGGCTACAATACCCCAGCACTTCGTGGATTTCTACCACTACCAAGGTCTCGGTGCAAAATTATTCTATCCATTGATTGAGATGTGAACAATCAGCAAATTTCGCGCTAAGCAAACCATCCACAACTCAACCAAACGCCCATCCTGCAGAGCGGAACTTATTGAAAAGAAAAACTCATTAAAAAAATTATCTTGAGCTATTCAAAACACTTTCATTCATCATCACTAATTTCGCTATTATCATCATCAGCAAAATTCTCTTTTAAGTCACTAATATGCCAATTACCTAGATCATTTCCATCTTTATCCCTCAAATTGTAAGAAACTTTAGAGATAACTTTGTGTACTATACAAGGGATGTATTTAGGCGCAAATTTTGCTGTATAATCATTAGCAGCATTAGACAAGGTAAAATTTCTTTTCCATAATTTGTCACCAACCCGATAAGAAACATCTCTCTTTCTGAGATTATAAAATTTGGCATTTTTATCATGATATTTCTTTATTCTTTTACGAATATCTTCAAAAAGATTAGGAACTTCCTTCAAATCATCAATATGCTGATCTCTTTTTCCTACTTTGGGTAAGTTATTATTTTCAGATTCAATTTTACCATAATAAGATCCAGAAGTTGGTACATTTCTGCCAAAAGTTATAAATGATGGAGAAAAACCAGTTACTTCATGATTTGCTGTTCTTATAGCTTGGCCAACTTTATGAATACATAAGTCCCAATCTTTATGGTTGTCATGAATGTAGGATCTAATACAACGAACAATGTCTCTATTTACCCTCTCAGTATGATTAATTTGGGGGTGATATCTTAAGTTATAGAATATTTTCTGAACATCATAACTTTTCAAGAAATTTTTAAACTCTTTACTGATAAATTGGGGACCATTATCACAAGCAAAAATTTGAGGTACACCAAAAGTCAAGAAAACTTGATTTTCAATAAATTTTATAATTTGTTTGGAAGTCGCAGTCGCCATAGGATGGACGAAAACGAATTTTGTGAACCAATCCACTACTACCAAAACAAATCTATTTCCTTGTTTCGATCTTACGTAGGGACCCAAGAGATCAGCAGACAGCATTTGAAAAGGAAAATTTATTTCTCTACCCTCACCCATAAGTCCAGGTGTTGCTTTATTAGGTGATTTATTGGCCTGACAAATCTCACATTTTCTCACATAACGATAAACATCATTTTTCATTCCAGGCCAATAATATAAGGAAATTATTCTTGAGAAAGTTTTAGAAACGCCATAATGTCCAGCACATTGATTATCATGATAAAGTTCTAAGATTTTCAAACGATTTTTGGTTGGGATAACAATTTTCCATTCATTTAGATTACTAGATATACAAGAACGATTATGGAAATGTTTATATAAAATATTGTCTTTAATACAAAAAGATGGAAATCGATCTGGTGAATCAGAAACTTTTTTCATCATATCAGAATACCATTTGTCAGGCTGTAAGGTAGAAATGTCGATAACCGAGGTATTAGAGATATTTGGATTTTCTGAATCCAATTGAGTCGCTCTAGATAACGCGTCAGGCACTACATTTAGAGAACCTTTGCGATGAATAACTTTGAAATCATATTGAGACAGCTTTAGAGCCCATCTTGCAAGTTTTCCAGCAGGGTTAGAAATGCTATGTAGCCAAACAAGTGCAGCATGATCTGTAATAACAGTGAATGAAGTGCCTTCAACATAGCATCTAAAAGTTTCTATTCCAAAAATCAAGGCTAGCATTTCTTTTTCAGAAACTGAGTATTTTCTCTGTGCTTTATTTAGAGTTTTACTGGCATAAGCTATTGGATGTTCAAAGCCTTCTTCTTCTTGAAAAAGAACAGCGCCCATCCCTGTATCACTGCTATCAGTTTGAATGAAAAAAGGTTTAGAGAAATCAGGACTGGCAAGAATTGGGGCATTGGTTAAAAGATGTTTAATTTTTATAAATGCCTGATTGGCTTCTTCATTCCAAACAATTGCTTGTCCCTTTTTCCTACCTTTTAATAGGTCGGTAATAGGGGATGAAATTGAGGCAAAATCTTTAATAAAACGTCTATACCAGCCAGCTAAACCAAGTAATCTTTTTATTTCGGTAGTATTTTTTGGAATAGGATAATTATTTATCGCTGCAATTTTTTCTTCACTTGTATGCAAACCGTTTTTGTCTACTATATAACCAAGGTAATTCAGAGAAGATCTGCAAAATTTGCATTTTTTGAGGTTAATAGTGAGGTTTGCATCAGATAATCTGTGGTAAACTTCTTGCAAAATTTTAATATGTTTCTCGAAGGTAGAGGTGGCGATGATTATATCATCAAGATAAACGAAACAAAATGGCTCCAAAGCTGGACCCAAAATAATATCCATAGCTCTTTGCATGGTAGCTGCGCTATTAATCAAACCAAATGGCATTACCTTGTACTCAAACAGACCCCGACCGTAAACAGCAAAAGCAGTTTTTTGTCTAGCAGATGGTTCCAAAGGTATTTGATGAAACGCTTTTCTCAAATCAAGGGAACTGAGATACTTCGCATCCCTTAATTTTGCTAAAATAGCATCAATTCTTGGCATAGGATAACAATCCTTGATGGTAACTTGATTGATTTTTCTAGAATCTAGAACAACTCTGTGTTCTCCAGTTTTCTTCTCAACTAGCCACAAAGGGCTGCACCAAGGTGATTGGGATGGTTGAATAATATTGAGCTTTAGCATTTCATCAATTTCTCTGTTAAGATGTTCTTGCATTTTGGGTGATAATGGGTATTGTCTCATTCTTATTGGTTTTGAATCTCCAGTGTCGATATCGTGAGAGATAATGTTAGTTAAACCAAGTTTATTTTCAGAGTCAATACTCTTGTATAAGTCTATTGTTTTATGTAAATTATTTTCTTGAGATAGTGTTAGATCATCATGATCGAAAATAACATTAACTGTACTGCAATTATTTTGTAAATTAATATCATAAGTTGAATTATGAAAATTGGCAGTAATTTTAAAAAGTTTAAGAAAATCTACACCTAAAATCAATTCGTGTACGACACTGGGTATGACCAAAACTTTCACTTGTTTACAGACATTATTTATTGAAATAGGTAAATGAACAAACCCAAGATAATCTTGTTTTTTGCCATCAGCTGTAGACACATTCAAAATAGAATCGCATTGAATATTTAGATTTAATTGTTGCAACAAATAAAAACCTGAAGAACCCAAAATACAATTATTAGAACCACTATCTACTAGGGCCAACATTTTTATATTATTTATATCGACAGAAAGATAAGGTCTGGTGTCGTCGTTATTTTTAGAAAAAATTGGATAAACAAAACTGAGTTTTTTATTATAAAAATCTTTAACAAAGATAAGCCAATTTTTCCACTCAGTATAATTAGTGAAATTTGTAGGTTTTACTTGGATTTCGATTTCTTTTTGGAATTGTTGTTGTTCTTTTGGTTTGACGAAGTTGAGGGAGTCTCTTGAGGTAAAACAGTGACAGCCTCGGTTTGTTGGCGACCGCCACTCACATTCAAGTTTTTTGAACACGAACTACATTTTGATTTAACAACATCTCTTTTACCACAGCCATAACAAAAAAATTTTCTAGGTAACCAACAAGTATTATAATTATGGCCAGCCTTGCCACAATTCCAGCAGGAACGAGAAATTCTAGAATTAGATAAATTGTTGTTTGATTGAATTGCATCAATACCAGTCAAATAATCGTTAGAAATGGAACTAAGTTCAGGTTCCAAAAGACCATTTCTTCTATTTGGAGGAGCTTTGTATCTATCTGACCAAGATCTGGATTCTTCCAACCTTTTGCACAGATTAGACAATTCTGAAATCGTGTTTATATCGAGTAAAGCAAGTTGGTTTATATAATATGGAAGTAAATTCCTACGGATTTGGTCAACTCTAGATTTTTCATCAGGTAAAATAGATAATTTATGATACAAGCTTTCCATAGAAGCTATAAATAACGTTACTCTTTCAGAATTGCCCATTGTACGGTTCGAAATTTCTCGTAATAAGTCTTGCTCGTAAAAATAAGGTAAAAAATCAGACTTGAGCTTGACAACTACTTCATCCCAGTTGCTAAAATTGTGCCTATTTGTAGAGAACCAAGTCCAGGCTGGACCTTTAAATATATCGCATGCAGAACGAAATAAGTCATCCCTACTGACATTTCTGCTAATTCTCAACTCCTCAATTCTCTCCAAAAATGACATGACTGATTCTTTGTCAGTTGAACCAGTGAAATAAGTATTCCATTTATAAGGTAGCACTGATGGTTGGCTATGATTCTGAATTTGAGGAATGTTTATATTAGCAGAAACAGCTGTAGGAGTGGAAGTTTGCACATTTGGGTTTTGATTGTAAAATTGCAAAGTGTCTAATTTCATTTCAAATTCCCCCTCTAGAGAAATAACCTGAGTTTGTAAACTCGCTTTTTCAGTAATCTGTTGATCATTTTCGACTATGAATCTATTAATACGATTAGAAAGATGCGTTAATCTATCCTCAATTTTCTTTTTCTCACTACTTATTCCAGTGAATTTATCAACAGCCTTAACCAAATCAGCATAAGTTTCATATGCACCCTTTAAATCAGTTGCAAATGGCTTAGTGTTTGTAGGATCAACAAAACTCAGATTCGAGGATTCTTGTTTCATGCAACCTCTCAAAAGTTTACGTTTTTCATCAACAGATAACTGAGCAGCGTTAGCAAAATTTCTCAGCTCCAACTCATAAGTTAACTCGTTCGTTTTTAAATTATTAATGTCCATTATGGGAGATATTTTTAAGAAAAATTAAATAGAAAAGATTCAAATATAGATAATAAAGTCAATATAGATAATAAATAGTAAAGTCAAATCAGGTAAAAAAAATTATTGCAATTTAAAATATTTTCAAAGACAATGTAACGACCAGAAAAGACTTGAGTAATTGCTTACAAAGTTATTTCCCGCAGAAAAACCAATGAAACCAGCTTGTTAATTATGTAAACCACATAAAAATTGTTGGGCGCCAATGAAACTCAAACCCAGGGGTTGTAGGTTCATTGCCAGCTTCATTAGAATTTTGCAAGAAATAAAACACCATAAACAATGTATAAATCTAATTATAAAGGAACTTGTAAATCAAATAATTACAAAATCTATAATAAGTAAAAAAAAATAATAATTAAATTATTAAAACAATAAAATCAAACGATTAATATTGTCTGACTTAATTACTCGTAACAATGCCTGAAGTTACAAATATTCTGGTCTTTACAGAATCGAATTTTGGCACTTATCTTATGTCCACAGAAAAGTTGGTGGTAGCTGGATCCTTTAGAGCTCTTCACCTCATTCACCAATTTGTAGAAGGTCTCCCAATTTGTGCTCCAATATGTTCTGGTGAAATGTGTGGCCAACACTAGTTCTATAAGTAGTTAGACTGGTAGACACAAACGAGTCGACTATTGGTTTTCTGACGTTGGAGGACTTCACTGACTCAACTAAGGATCCAGTCGTGGAACACTCGTCTGACACTTGCCTAGTCAGCACGATTTCTTCAGCCAAATTTTATGGATGATACATGAAATATAAAGAATAATATTAGACCAGAAATATAAGAACTAAGGTTAAATGAACGAGAAAAGCAATTACCAATATTAATAATAATTAATGTTAAATTACTTTACAAAATCACCTTCATCAATTAAAAGGTATCTAAATACAATTTCTCAAGTTTAAACTGTAACCTCTAAAATTATAATAGTCAAATTATCAATGGGTATAATTATATACCATTGTTATACAAGATAAAATTCAAACTTCAAATTATATTTTAAAATTCAAGACAATTAAGATAATATGAATCTAAACAACGATTCAGGAGATAATAGATAAGACATTTATTAAGGTAAGTGATCTGTAGAAATATAATAAAGATAATTCTGGTATATTTAATATCACCAAAGATAAATATATCGATCAGGAAAGGTAGGTAGGTATGGCCTTTCGAGTATTCAGGCAGCAGGCAGCAAAAGTAAATTATTCAGGCAAAAATCAAGATAATTACATCCACGACAGTCCAGGATTTTCTAATTTAAAACCTGTAGGGTTTGTTTGCCAATTTGAGCCGATGTATATAAGAAAATTTTAGCCAATTCTCAAATAAATTCAATTAGGTTTCTAGAATAGAAGAGTTAGGAATTATGCTAAATTTCCTCGCAAAATTAAAATGAACAATTAACTCAAATTCACAGACAGAAAAAGGTGACAAGAAATGTGACACTTTCTCTAGAAATTCAAATAAAAATACACTAGAAAAATTCGATATATATATTTAATCTATGAAAAGATTAAATTAGAGTGCATTCCTAATTGATTTTCCAAAATTCCCTTACATGAAAATGTCACACACTGTTCGAAAAAGAAAATGTCAGAAAATCTGATTCATCTAGAAAATAACTAGATAAGTTTCGAAAATATTTATCTGACTATACAAAAGAAACCTTTCTTTATTTAAATAAACCGAAAAACTATGAAAACCTTAAAAAGTCTGATGGATGTTCAAAGATATAAAAAATTCACTTCTGCTTACCTGAAGACTCGAAACACCAAAAAGCCACGATCCTTATCTCCCTAACCTATTTATGCCTTTTCCAATCACCCGAGCAATTGACAGCGATTCCAAAAATTGAGTTTATTAATATTTGTATCTCTTACTATTCGCCGCGAAAAAGAAGATAAGAAAATAGTTCAAGTATCAAAATGGGTCAATGAATATAGATATGGGAAGAACTCTGTAATTTAGCAGTATCAACAATATTGGAATACAGATAACTAGATTCAAATCTACAGCACTAGATTTTAAGATACCTTTTATCATCATAGTGTCAAGATCAATAACTCTTTGGAAAATATATATCTTCAATAATGTAACAATCGTTACAGTATTCTAATAACTATTCCTTTAAATGTGGCGCTTGCGGAAATATTTTTAAAGGGATCGATACTTTAAAACAACATCTAAAGACGCATTCGAATTTTTATCCTTTCGAATGTGACTCTTGTAATGCGAAATTTAGATCGATCGGCAGTTTGAAGGAACATCTAAAAACGCATACGGATGTTCATCCTTTCGAATGTAACACTTGTAATGCGAAATTTAAATCGATTAGCCATTTAATGCAACATTTAAAGGCACACACGGATGATCGTTCTTTCAAATGTGGCTCTTGTAATGCGAAATTTAAATCGATTAGCCATTTCATGCAACATTTAAAGGCGCACGCGGATGATGGTTCTTTCAAATGTCACACTTGTAATGCGAAATTTAAATCGATTAGCAATTTGAATCAACATTTAAAGGTACACACGGATGATCGTCCTTTCCAATGTGACATCTGTAATGCGAAATTCAAATCGAATGGCGATTTGAACAAACATTTGAAGACGCACTCGGATGATCGTCCTTTCCAATGTGACATCTGTAATGCCAAATTTAAATCGAACGGCAATTTGAACAGACATTCGAAGACGCACTCGGATGTTTATCCTTTCGAAAGTGACACTTGTAAAGCGAAATTATAATTTAATTACAGTTTGAATCGACATCTAAAGAGTCACTCAAAAACATAATCATGTTTTGAAATGTGACATTTGTAAAGTGAAATGGGCTCTTCCACTAAAATTTAAGCATGAAATCTTAAATGAGGAAAACATTTTTAGCTGGATTTCCTTTGGTTGTCACAAATAATTTTCCAATAAAAATTTTACAGCTTTTTATTTTTTTAAATTCAACACCCTTTGTCTTGAAACTGAAATTTAACACTTTAAAATTTCGTATATTGATATAGAAATATTTTTTCAGGTTTATGATAAAAAATGAATGCACAGAGAGAATCGACGTATCCGAAACTCAATTTATCGATTCGAATAACCCTATCAGGTTATTCAAAAAAGACGAGGAATATTCAAATCAAATCAATACAATAATGCAATTAGAAAATAACGTAAAATTCCAATATAACATTTGTCCCATCAAATTTTAAACGAAAGAAAATTTGAAAGAACATTTGAAGATACATTCGGATAAAACTCCTTTTATATGCGATATTTGTGGAACAAAATTCAAATGGAGATTCAGTTTGAAACAACATTTCTTTTTGAAACACGCTTCATGTGAGATTTGTAAAAAAAAATACATATAAACATAGAAAAAGTTTGGACCGACATTCAAAGGTGCACTCTAATATCTAATCTAAAGTGTAAAGTGAAATTCAAATGTGTAGTTGTATTATAGGCATGGAACATTATACTTGAACTTGAGATGTGTCTAGAACTCATAGTAGAATCGAAGAATGCAGTAGTAACCAGTTTGTTTTCAATTTCGAACAAATAAAAATAGTAGTTTGATAAATTAATTAATGAAGGCATAGATTAAATCATAGATAAAAAAAGCGTATTTAAAAAAAAATAAAAAAATACATATAACAGGGTGAGTAACTAAGCGCGCGGTGTTCCATATACTAATTAAGTTTCCACTTCGGTAAACTTTATTTTCAAAAACTATTTATTTTCATAACTAAGTATTACAACTGAAAATTTCAAACTATTAGTGAAACAAATAGGAAACTTGACAAAAAATTTAAATATGACTATTTCACTAGAGTGTTTTACACTGGCAAAATGTCATAGGAACGGCCGGTTTCCTACTGACAAAAACTCCTACCTGTTCCTACCTGGACAAAACCAACATGATGGTTTTTCAGCGACAAAATTTTGTGTGGTTAATGTAAAAAAACTATTGAGTTTGATAAGTGTCATCTAAAGAAGATAAATTTTCCAAGTAAAAATTTAGCTTGTTTTTCTCGTGAAATAGTCCAGCCGAATACCACTCAAGAAAAAATTATGTAGGCAAAATTATTCTCTTGGTTTTATTCAAGTTTGTTGCTTTTTGGTAAAATCGCCGGGGGAGTCGTTTCGGCTTTTCAGCCGCTCAGCACTGCTACCTTTACAGATATTTTGTGCGTGACTCTACATCTTAATTAGTCTCCAGGAAGCGTAGACTTCTGCCGAAGGAAGCTATTTTCCTGGGTGTCAGTTGGCCCACTTCTTCTGGTGACAGTATTGCTCCCTCGAGGAATTTGGGCCTCTTGTAGAATTAGGCTGGGCATTCGCAGAGCAGGTGCTCTGCGGTTTCTATTGCGTCTGAGCAGAATCTGCAGAGATCGTCTTCCGCTCTGCCCATTAACCTTAAATGGTATTTTACTGGGCAGTGTCCTGTGAGCAGTCCCACCACCAATCTGATGTCTGGTCTGCTCATGTTTAGGAGCTGTTCAGCTCTTTTTGCTGAAAGGGTAATAAACCTTTTTGACTGTCTGAGTCCAGGTGTGTGCCTCCAATATGATGACAGTTGGTCTTTCTCCCATTTGTTGAGTTCTTCCATGATGTGGCTTTTCATTAAGCCACAGTAGGGCTCTGGTCCGTGGTATGGTGTTGAGGCCCTTTCCTTTGCGAGGCCACCTGCTTCTTCGTTTCCTTCTATGCCTCGATGACCAGGCAGCCACATCAGCGTTACCTAGTTATGTGTCGCTAGTGTTTTTAGGGTCTGTTTACACTCCCAGACTAGTTTTGACGTGCATTTGAAAGCCCTTAAGGCTTTTAAGGCAGCTTGGCTGTCCGATAGTATGAAGATGTGTTTTCTTTTGAGGCTTTGGTTAAGACACTCTTGTGCACATATATCTATGGTATGGCAAGCAGTTCGGCTTGAAATATTGTAAGATGTTTAC